GGTAAGGAAAGTTCTCTCCTCTGGCCCATTGCTTTTTTTCTCCTTTTATAAAAGTCTCACCTAGGGCTTAGCACAGAGCCTTCTACCCACCAAGTGTCCATCAGTGTGATTATTAACAAATCAGCTCTTAATTTCAAAACCAGGTAAATGGAATATACTTAAGGAAGACAATTAAATTGCTTTTTACTGTTGTGTGATCCTCAACTGGTTATTTCTGGGTATAAATGTCCACATAATAGGATGCTATTCTACCACTACAAATTATTCATATCTATACTCAGGAGATAGAAGCTAGAGGGTTACAAGTTTCGGGCCAGTCAGCAATTTAGCAAGACCCTGTCTCAAAATTAAAAAAAAAAAATTATAAGACTGGGGATATAGCACCACAGTAAAGTGCCCCTAGGTTCAATCTCAGTGCCAAAAAAAAAATTAATAAAATTGTATAAAAGGGCTGGGGAATGTAGTTTACTGCCCTATCCAAAGTTCCTCCCATTCCTCCCATGCCCCCACCCCTCTTATCAGAAAAAACATTCGGCCTTTGATTTTTGGGGGATGGGCTTACTTCACTTAGCAAGATACTCTCCATCCATTTACCTGCAAATGCCATGATTTTATTCTCTTTTAATGCTGAGTAATATTCCATTGTGTATATATGCCACAGTTTCTTTATCCATTCATCTATTTAAAGGCATCTAGTTTGGTTCCACAATTTAGCTATGTGAATTGTGCTGCTATAAACATTAATGTGGCTGTGTCACTATAGTATGCTGTTTTTAAGTCCTTTGTGTATAAACCGTGCAATAGGATAGCTGGGTCAAATGGTGGTTCCATTCCAAGTTTTCTAAGGAATCTTCATACTGCTTTCCAGATTGGTTGCACCAATTTGCCATCCCACCAGCAATGTATGAGTGTGCTTTCCCCCCCACATCCTCGCCAACACTTATTGTTGCTTGTATTCTTTTTTTTTATTATTAGTTGTTCAAGACAATACAATGATCTTGACATATCATTCATTTGATTCAAATAGGGTATGAATTCTCATTTTTCCATGTGTACATATTGCAGGATCACATTGGTTATACATCCATGTGTATACATACAGCAATCCCAGTGTCAGTTGTATTCTGCTGCCCTCCCTATACCCCTGCTATTCTGACTGGAGTGAGATGAAACCTTAGAGTAGTTTTGGTTTGCATTTCTCTAATTGCTATAGATGTTGAACATTTTTTCATATATTTGTTGATTGATCATTTCATCTTCAGTTCCTAGGCCCATTTATTCATATTGGGTTATTTATTTATTTATTTTCTTTGGTGTTAAATTTTTTGAATTCTTTATATATCCAGGAGATTAGTGCTGTATCTGATATGTGTGTGGTAAAAATTTGCTCCCATTCTGAAGGCTCTCTCTTCACCTCACTGATTGTTTCTTTTGCTGAGAAGAAGCTTTTCAGTTTGAATCCATCCAATTTATTCATTCTTGATTTTATTTCTTGTAGGAGTCTTGTTAAGGAAGTCAGGGCCTAATTCAACATCATGAAGATTTGGGCCTACTTTTTCTTCTATTAGGTTCAGGGTCTCTGGTCTAATGCTTAGGTCCTTGGTCCACTTTGAGTTGTGTTTTGTGCATGGTGAGAGATAGGGGCTTAATTTCATTTTCCTGCATATAGATTTCCAGTTTTCCCAGCACCATTTGTTGAAGAGGCTATCTTTTCTCCAATATATGTTTTTGGAGCCTTTGTCTAGTGTAAGATAACTGTGTTTATATGGGTTTGTCTCTGTGTCCTCTTCTGAACCATTGGTCTACAACTCTATTTTGGTGCCAACACCATGCCATTTTTGTTTCTACTGCTCTGTAGTATAGTTTAAGGTCTGGTTCTAGTGATGCTACCTGCTTTACTCTTCTTGCTGAGGATTGCTTTGACTATTCTGGGTCTCTTATTTTTCCAGATGAATTTCATGATTGCTTTTTCTATTTCTATGAGGAATGTCAATGGGATTTTGATTGAATTGCATTATATCTATATAATGCTTTTGGTAGTATGGTCATTTTGACAATATTAATTTTGCCTATACAGGAACAATGGAGATCTTTCCATCTTCTAAGGTCTTCTTTAATTTCTTTCTTTAGCATTCTGTAGTTTTCATTGTAGAAGTCTTTCACCTCTTTCATTAAGTTGATTCCCAATTTTTTTTGAGGCTATTGTAAATGGGGTAGTTTTCCTAATTTCTCTTTCAGAGGATTTATCACTGATGTACAGAAACGAGTTTGATTTGGGGGTGTTGATTTTATATCCTGCTACTTTACTGAATTCATTTATTAGTTATAGAAGTTTTCTGGTGGAATTTTTCGAATCCTCTAAATATAGAATCAGGCCATCAGCAAATAGTGATAGTTTTAGTTCTTCTTTTCCTATCCATATTCCTTTAATTTCCTTTCATCTGTCTAATTGCTCTGGCTAGTGTTTCAATGACTATGTTAAATAGAAGTGGTAAAAGAGGGCATCCCTGTATTGTTGCAATTTTTAGAGGGAATGCTTTCAATTTTTTTCCATTTAGAATGATGTTGGTCTTGGGCTTAGTATAGATAGCTTTTATGATGTTAAGATATGTTCCTAATATCCCTAGTTTTTCTAGTGTTCTGAACATGAAGGTGTGCTGTATTTCGTCACATGCTTTTTCTGCATCTATTGAGATTATCATATGATTTTTATCTTTTAGTCTATTGATGTGATGAATTACATTTATTGATTTCTATATGTTGAACCAACCTTGCATTCCTGGGATGAACCACACTTGATCATGGTGCACTATCTTTTTGATATGTTTTTGTATTTGATTTACTTTAAAAATTGTGCTCTTATGTGTAATATGAATTGAATTGCATTCTGCTGTCATATATAACAAATTAGAATAAATTAATAATTCTAAAAAAATCATGAAAATGAACAGAGGATGGTTTCCCCTGTATAGTATTCCTTTTCTTGAAAGTCACCATCCCTCTTTTCAGACCTGAGAGGAACACTCAAGAGAGTGAATTTAGTTGCTTTATCCTGATTGAGTAAATTCTGATTTCCCACAATAAAATAATAATAATAATAATTTAGACTAGCATTGCTTGAATATCCATGCTTCCATAGCCTGTGTTTTCAAAATGAGAAATGAAAAATCTCCCACTTCCATGGGCTCGTCTGCTCACATAAACATAGCAGATTCTTGAAGATTCTCTCTCCTTAGAGTGTTTTGAGAATTTCCAAAGGGGCATTTCTCTTAAGCCCATGAACCAATCTGTGCTGTCAGGGTGGCTGAGCCAGCTATTGCAAGCTCCAGCTGCAGACCAAATGATGGTGAGGATGGGACTCTACTCAGCAGCTTCTCAGAGCCCATTTACTCCTGCCAGAGAATGTTACAAGGTCACATTCACTCCTAAAAGGGTGTTTTGGCCCAGAGTGTAACAGAGTTCAGTGAAACAGCTTTCTCAGTTCACGTTCAGATCTCCCCTTGGCAGTGGGATGCCTGTATACCCCCACCCAAGAGTGGTAGTTTTGAGGAACTTCTGATAGTGTGGGACTGGAATTCATCAACATTAGTAATGTTGGTTACTGTTACTGAGCCCATCCCACAAGGTGATGATTCCTCAAGGTGAATCATCTTTAATGAGGAGGGAGTTGCCATTAACCCTCTTGCAATCTGGTCCCCATATGGTCTCCTCTATCAGCCATGTCTGAATATCTGAACTCCAGATGTGAACAGAGTTGAAGCCTCTTCCCCAGAAACTTCCTCAGCCCCACTGTAACTCAATAGAGGCAAATGGACACTTGTAGGGACAAGTGTCCCCTAGCTCTGTCAGCTAGGTTTCTCAGTGGGAGACGGGGGAGACTGGAAGAAGAATCTCAGCTCTAGTCCAGTAAACCAACCAGTTGCATAATGCTTTTCAAAGTACATCTCCAATTTGATATTCACCCAAACCCTGTGAGATAAATAGAGCAGATATCATTATCTCTGTTTTATGGATTAGAAAGTCAAAGCAAAGTTTAGTGACTTGCCCAAACTCATAACACAAGAAAAAAAAATAACTATCTGGAATTGGTACTGGGACTCCAACTCCGAGTCTAGACATAGGGGAGGCAGAACAGTGCTCCTGAAACATGCAGACCGTGGAGTCACACTCTGTATTTGGATTCCCAGCCCTGTAACTCCTAGCTGTGTGGCCATCTGTAAGTCCCTTCATTCCCAGGCTTTGGCTTCCTTATCTATAAAGTGACAATAACAGCATCTCCCTCCTAAGTATCTGTGAGATAAACAAGAATATACATGTGAAGCACATAGAAGAGAGCCTGGCACATTAGCAAGCATGAGAAAGGGAGAGCCAGGATTAGCACCGAACTTATCCTGTCTCCTGTCCAGTGCACATCACACTCAATGTCTTTCACCAACAGGGAGATCAGAGGGTGAATGGCTATAAACAAACTTTTTACCCATTGCCTATATGATTTTTCAGTGGACAAATACCTGATTAAGAAAGTGTTCCCTACTGTACTCCAGATTGGAACAATAAAATATACTGTAGTTAATCCCAGTTCTTATCAGTCTGCATAGGGAGCCTGCAAAGCTGCTTTAAGATAATAATACTCTTTAGGCTGGGGATATAGCTCAGTTAGTAGAGTGCTTGCCTCGCTTGCACAAGGCCTTGGGTTCAATCCCCAGCACGACACACACACACACACACACACACACACACACACACACACACACTAGTCTGAGAATATGATATGAAAACTTCAGGACCAGAATTCATTGAACAAACTCTTTTTTGACTGAATGGTAATGAAAATACGTGAGAACTGAATTGTCCTAATGAGCCAAATCACTCTGTCTTAAAATCATGGCACCTTAAATAACTGTTTCATACTTTCCCCTGATATTTACTGTTTTCATTCCATCTTTATTTTTAAATGATGACTTTATAGAGATTTAATTTGCATAACCTAAATTCACCCTTTCAAAGTATACAATTCAGTGGTTTGTTTATATTCAGAGTTGTGCAACCAGCACCATATAATTTCAGAATATTTTCATCACTTGGAAAAGAAACCTCATACCATTGGCCATCTCTCCCCACTCCTCCTGCTTATTCCCTGGAAACCATTGAGTTGCTTTCTGTCCTCATGGATCTGCTATTCTGAAAGCTTCATCGTTCACCTATGGAGCTTCTTGTGACAGGTTTCTTTCTCTCAGCTTAATGTTTTTAAGGTGCATTCCATGTTAGAGCATGTTATCAGGACTTAATTATCTTTTTGTTGCTGAGTAATCTATTGCATGCATATATCACATTTGGCTTATCCATCCATCAATTGAAGGATATTTGCACTCTTTCTACTTCTTAGCTGTTATGAATAATTCTACTATGAAGATCTATGTGCAAGTTTTAGAGTGAATCTGTCTTCACTTCTCTTTCAAGATGCCTCTATGTTTAACATGTTTTATTTAAACTATGGGAAGTGCTATATATTTATTGAACAATGAGGTTGGGTTTTTTTGTTGTTGTTGTTTTTGTTTGGGTACCAGGTAATGAACCTAGGGGCACTTAACCTCTGAGCCACATCCCCAGCCCTTTTTATATTTTTTATTTTAAAACAGGTCTCACGAAGTTGCTGAGGCTGACTTTGAACTTGGCAATCATATTGTCAGCCTCCTGTCAGTCCGGCATGAACAATGAAAAACTGTCAATTAGCACTTGGATGGTAAAGATATTTCTATTTATTTTTATGTTTAACATTCTGTGGAACTGCCAACCTATTTCCCTAAGTCTCTTCACCATTTTAGAACCTCACCACAATGTTTAAGAGTTCCAGCTTTTCCACATCTTCACAAATACTTATATTTACTATCTTTTTATGTTTTAGCCATCTTAGTGGGTCTGTAGTGTTGTTTTAATTTGAAATTTTTTTTAATCTTCTTGGTGCTGGGGATTGAACTCAGGGCCCAGCTCATGCTAAGCATGCACTGTACCACTGAGCTGCATCCCAGGTGATTTGGATTTTCCTCAAGGACTAATGATTTTTTTCATCTTTTCATGTGCTTAATAAATACTCATGTTGCTTTTGGTGAAATGTTTATTCAGTCTGGGTTGTCTTCTTATATTGAGTTTTTGTCATTATTGTTGATGTTGTTTTGTTTTGTGAGTCAGAGTCTCTACGTTGCCCTGGGTACAAGTGATCCTCCTGCCTTACCCTCTGAGTAGCTGGGACTTTAGGCGCTTGCCACTCTGCCTGGCTTTTATGTTGAGTTTTCATAGTTGTTTATATATCTGGATAGCAAGTTCCTTATTTGACAAAATTTGGAATATTTTCTCCCATTCTATAAGTTGTCTGTCCACTCTATTACTGGTGCCTTTGAATCATGATGAAGTTCAGTTTATGTATTTTTTATGTCACTTATGTTTTTGATTTCTTGTCTAAGAATACCTTGCCTAATTCAAGGTCATGAACATGTACCCTTCTATAAATTTTATTGTTTCAGCTCTTACACTTAGGTCATTTGATCGACTTTGGAGTTGATTTTTGTGTAAGATATGAATAGGTGTTCTGCTTCCTTCATTTGCTTATATCCAATTGTTATAGTTTAGGTGTGAGGTGTCCTCCAAAAGCTCATGTGTAAGAAAATGCAGGAAAGTTTAGAGGTGAAATAATTGGGCTATGAGAGCCTAAACCTAATCAGAACATTAATCTGATAATATGGATTAACTGGGTGGTAACTGTAGGCAGATAGGGAGTGGCTGGAGGAGGTAGGTCACTTAGAGGCATGACTTTGAGGTATATATTTTGGCCCTGGTAAGCGGGACTCTCTCTGCTTCCTGATTGCCACGTCCTGAGCTGCTTCTCTCCTTCACACCCTTCCTCGAGGATATTCTGCTATCACCCCCACTGAATTGTCAGATCACTCTTACTGAAAATCAAATGTCCAAAATTTGAGGATTTATTTCTGCACTATTTCGTTGAGCTGTATATCTAGACTTATTATAGCACTACACTATCTTAATTGCTGTAGTACTGGAATTTCCTTAATGAATAATGATTTGCGCATCAGAGCCCCTGTAGTCCAGCTACTCAGAAGGTAAGGCAGGAGGATCAGTTGAGCCCGGGAGATGGAGGCCAGCAGGGCCACATAGACCCTGACTCAACAAAACAAAACAACATCAACAATAATGACAAAAACTCAGCTTTGTAGTAAATTTGAAACTGTAAAGCCTAAGCCCTCCAACTTTGTTTATCCTTTCGAATGTTATTTTGGTTAGTCTGATCTCTTGAGTTTCCATGTGAATTTAGGATTGTGTGATGGTTAATATCATGTATCAACGTGACTGGGCCCCAGGGCACACAGAAATTAGTTTAAAATTATTCTGGGTGTGTCTGTGAGGGCATTTCTGGGTGAGATTAACATTTGAATTCATAGACTGAGTAAAGCAGATTCCCTCTTCAATGTGGGTGGGCCTCATCCAGATGTTGAAGACCTGAATAAAATAGAAAGGTTGAGCAAGAACCAGAATTTATAAGGTTGGTTTTCTTGGTTCGTAAGCTTCATACGTGGACTGGAACATACAACTGGCTTTCCTGGGTCTCTATTTTGTCCCTTCTTCGGGGACCTCCATTACATGTACACTGGATTTTTTCAGTGTTCGCTAGGTCTTGTGCATATGACGTTTCTGTATTTTCTATTGCTTTATCTCTCCATTTTTTTTTTATTCTGGACATTTTCTTTGACTTATTTTCAAGTCTACTAACTCTTTCCTTATCTACATCTAGTCTTCTGTTAAATTTCACGAATTGAATTCTAAATGTTTGTATTGTCTTTTCAGTTCTAGAATTTCAAATAAGTTGTTTCAGATAATTTCCAGTTCCCTGATGCAATAATCTTACATCTTATTTCCTTGCACACACTTATCATAGTTGAAGCCTATGTCTGATGACTCCGTTCTCTGCGGTCCTTGTATGTCTTTTTTACTGTCTATTATTTTTCTTTGGTTATTTCTTTTTTAAAAGAAATACTTATTTTTAGATGTAGTTGGACACAACATCTTTATTTTGTTTATTTTTATGTGGTGCTGAGGATCGAACCTAGGGCCTCACACTTGCTAGGCGAGCGCTCTACCACTGAACCACATCCCCAGCCCTTTTTGGTTATTTCTATGTGAGATCCAAACATGGTATTTGAAAAATTACAAAGATAATTTTAGGCTTAGAATATAATCTTCCTCTGGAGGTGAATTTTTATTTACTTCTGGAAGGAGGCAGATTATCTTAACACAATCAAAAGTCCTTTCTTATTATGGTTAGGCCATTTATGGATTATCATTACTCCTTGGGTGTAGAACTTGGAGATCTTGTCCTGAAGCCCGATAAGGAGGTCACTAAGGCCCTTCCTTAGCAGGCTCCAAGCACCCTTATTTGTTATCCCAACCTATAATCCTGTAGAAAGTTCTCCACAGCTTTTCAGTCTCCCAAATTTATATCAACTTTTGCAAATTAGATTATATCCCTGGGGGAAAGGCAGCCCCCCCACCAATGCTGAACTCATTTCTCTTGTTTTCTATCTCCCACATCTTGGCCCTGCAGTGAAAATATTCATTTAAAGGACAGCAGCTGTTCCCTCCTTCTTGCAGAATATTAGTACTTCCCTAATAGCTTCTGAAAAATCATTCATCTCTGCCACTGGTGGGATAGCCATGCCTGCTGTGCAGGGTGGGTGAGGATTGCATGAGGTAACTAAAGGGAAAGTACTTAGTGAGTTTTCTAATAATCACGTTTCCCTCTCTCTAGTCTCTAGAAAGCTCAAAGCCACGTTGTGATCCTTGCAGCAACATATGATTCAGAACCTTATGATGTCTGTGGTGGAACAATCTTGATTCAACTCCATTGTGTGGTCTGTAATTACCTGCTTCAGGTATGTACCTTAAATCTTATTTTATTACAAGTATGCTTATTAGCCTCCATAACTTTCATAGAAAGTAGGAAATAAAGAAGCAAAGGAAATAATTTTAGCACAGTTATCTTGAACTACCATGTGTATACATATGATAGAAAACTCTGATATAGTACAGGATGGAGCCACTTTCCCCGGGCAATAGAACATCAAAATCCCTGTCTTCTCTTGCCATGCTAGTCAGCATGGCTCATCCTGGAACATTCCTTACTCATCCTTCAAGGTACAAGTCAAGAATCCCTCTTTCAGAAAGTCTTACCTGGTCTCTCCACATAAATGTCTTTCCTTAATCATATTGAGCTGTATGTTACTGGACAGTGACTTGTCCTACAAACCTCGATTTCTTTATACACCTTACCATCTACAATGTCTAGAAAGAGAAATTACTTTGAATTGAGTTATTTTAACACCTTTACTGAACTATAATTAGCATGCAATAAACTGCATGTATTTAAAGTATACAGTTTGGTAAGTTTTGACATATACATATGCTACCTATAAAATCTTCAACACTATCAAAATAATGAACACTATCAAAATATCCACCACAGTTTATCTATTCATTTGTTGATGGACATTTAGGTTGTTTCAAATTGTTGGCTATTAAAAATAAAGGTGACATGAACCAGGCATGGTGGCACACACCTGTAATCCCAGCGGCTCTGGAGTCTGAGGCAGGAAGATCACGAGTTCAAAGCCAGCCTCAGCAGCAGTGAGGTGCTAAGCAACTCAGTGAGACCTTGTCTCTAAATAAAATACAAAATAGAGCTGGGGATGGTGGTTGAGTGCCACTGAGTTAAACCCTCAGTACCCTCCAATAAATAAATAAACAAATTAATTAACTAATTAATTAATTAAAGCTGACATGAACATTCATGTACAAATCTTTGTCTAGACAGGTACTTTTTTCTTCAGGGATGAATATCTAGAAGTGGAATGATTGGATCATGTGGTAGATATTTCCTTAACTTTTTAAGAAACCATCTATTCTGGCTTTCCATTATGGTAACAAAATACCTAAGACAATCAACTTATACAGAGGAAAGGTTTACTTTGGCTTATACTTTTGGAGTTTCAGTCCATGATCAGGTAGGCCCATTGCTTTTGGGACCCATGGAAGGGCAGCACATCATGGCTGTAGCATGTAGTGGAGCGAAACCATTTACTTTATGGCCAGCACATGAAAAAGAGAGGATGAGAAGGGTTGAGGTCCCAGCATCCCCAACAGAGGCTTACTTTCCTCTAGGCCCCATATTCTAACAGTACCACGGACTGGGGAAAAAGCCTTCATCACAGGGACCATTGGGACATTTCATTAATCATATTGAGCTGTATGGTGGTACCATCTTAAGGTACCACCAGACTGTTTCCCAAAATGATTGTGCCATTTTACATTCCCAACAGCAGTATAAGACAGTTTCTCCACACCCTCCCGACCGTTGGTATGGTTAAGGTGAGTCTTTTTTGCGGGGTGAGGTACTGGGGAATGAACTCAGGGGCACTCCACCAATGAGCCACATCCCAGCCATATTTTGTATTTTATTTAGAAACAAGGTCTCACTGATTTGCTTAGTGCCTCACCATTGCTGAGGCTGGCTTTGAAATCACCATCCTCCTGCCTCAGCCTCCCAAGCCGCTGGGATTACAAGCATGCTCCACCATGCCTGGCAGAGTGAGTCTTTTTAATGTTATCCATTCTAACAGAAGTGATGTGGTGTCTCATTGTAGTTTTCATCTGTAATGACAGACAATGGTAAGGATCTTCTCATGTTTTTTTTTTTTGCATCTATTTATCTTCTTTGGTGTCTGTTCAAATATTTTTGTTCTTTTTTATTGCATTGTTTTCTTATTGAATTTTGAAGATCTTTATACTTTTTGAACATAAATCTTTTATCATATACAGGATTTACAAATATTTTCTCCCAAACCTGGGTTGTCTTCTTGTTTGCTTAGGCCTTTTGATGAGCAGAAATTTTAAACTTTGATCAAATCCAAGGTGAGCCAGCCCATCATAGGGAAAGAGGCCGGAGAAAGAAAGTTGCTCAGCCTGGCAGAGTCAGGAAGCAGGGGGGTAAGATCTACCCTTCCAGGGCTCGCCTCCCATTTATCCATTTGTTCTTTCATAGATTGTACTTTGGGTGACATACCTAAGAAATCTTTGATAAATCACAAAGGTTTTCAAAACTCTCAGATTTTCTTCAGTTTTTTGGTTGCAGGCAGTACATTTAATTATGGCCCATTCAGAGTTAGGTTTTAATTACGGAATAAGGTATTCCATAATTTCAAGTTCATTTTTTTTCCTCTATGAAAATACAGTTATTACAGCATTACTTCTCAGAAAGACTGTTTTACATCCACTGAATTACCTTTGTGTGTTTATTGAAAATCGTTTGTCTTTATACACATGAAAGTTTTTCTGGACTTTCTGTTCTGTCCCATTATTCTGTTTGTCCATCTTTACACCAATATTATTCTGTCTTAATTGCCATATGTTTTAGTTAGCTTTTTTGACAGTGTGACAAAAACACCCAACAATAACAGCTCTAAAAAAGTTCATTTAGGGCTCATGGTGTCAAAGATCTCAGTTCATGGATGGCCAACTTCACGGTTACTGGTATATAGAAATACAATTAATTGATTTTTTTTTTGGATGTTGATCTACTACTCTACCATCTCACTAAGCCTTCTTATTAGTTTTAGTAGCTTTGTATAGATTACCTCAGATATTTTTACCTTGACAGGTATGTCATCTATGAGTAGACATTCTTCATTTATACTCTGGATGACTTATTTCTTCTTGAATAGAATTGAGATTTTGTGGTCCTGGAAGTATAGATACCTGATTTTTAATGCAATTCTGCCATAACTCATGGGCAGCCTTTGGCAAATTATCCAGGGTAACTGATTAAGGGGCATCCAGGGTAACTGATTAAGGATACATATGTCCCTCTCTGAACCCTGATTACCCTCGGAAGTGATCTCCATGTTCTCTGTACCAGTTTGCCCCTTTCCACTTCTAACATTCAATCAGACTAAGAAGGCACTCTGAAAGGCATCAGTGCCCAAGCAAGCCACGGCCTCCAGGCTCTGACTCCTACCCTCTTCCTGCTAAGCAGTTGACTCACTGAGCTCATGACCGTTGGGCTGAGTGTCATTTCTCCTCTCTCCTCAACCTTCCAGTAAAATAGAGGAGTGGCTACATTCCGTCATTCTTCCACCATTTGTTGTACCGCCTCCTGTGAGCAAGGCCCAGTCTGCAAAGATGGGTGGGCATAGGCTTGAAGCTTTTGATTCACAACAAAACTAGCTAAAAGCCATTTACAAATAAAAAGCAATTTATTTTTTTTTCTTTGAGATACTTTCCATTCTCTTGCTTCCGAATTCAGTCCTTTTCAATAGTGTAGTGTTATACTCCTCTTTCATGGGCTGTGGTGGGGCAGATTAAAAAGCTCAGGGGAAAAAATACTATCCTCTGGGAACTGAAGAACCCAGCAGGAGATGGCTTATTTGCTCTCCATCTACATGGAGAGGAACAGTCAGGCAAATGACAATGAATTATGTTGGAAAAGTCCAGAATCCTTGAAAATAGGAAATTCAGACAACCCCAGGTGATGGTGGAAATGAGAAGTAGAAAGGACTTCTATTCTTTGGAGTGATCACCACCTGGACCTCACTTTTTCTGAGATGGAGCTCACCTCCCATCCAAAGGAAAGCTCATCCAGCCTTCTTGGCATCCAGAGCACAGGGCAGCACCTCAGCCTGCCAATCAGATGCCCTCACTTCAACCCTTGAACCCAAAGCTGGCGGTATAGGAACCATACAGGCTCCTTTTTTGGCAAGTGGTAGCAGCTATTTCTGGTGCCCTGAAACCTTGGAAGAATCCACTATCAGGAATTGTCTGGTTTCTAAAATCCAGAATCATCTATTCTGATCCTTTTGTTTTACAAATGCAGTGTGGAAATAATGAAGAACCATCAAATGAACACCGGCAAAGGCTATTCACTCAGAACTTGCTTTAGAACGGGAGTCAGCCCTGCTTCACCTGCATTTTAACAGAGATGGTAAAGCAGGCGGAGGAGAGGGAGGGTTGTAGTGGAAAAGGGGAAGGTTTTAGGTGTGCCTTGACGGGAGGCTGTTGACATGGGGAAGCCATAGGTAGGCGAACTACAAGTGGGGCATCCAGGGTAACTTTTTAAGGATGCATATTTGACTTTTTCTAGTTGGTCTTACATTGGAGGCAGAGACAAAAATTAGGGCAGTTGTCAGTTACTAATCAAGTCATGACCATTGGGGGCCAGTTGCTACAGGGACATTACTTCCTGGGTTTATGAATAGAAGAGTGGTCTAACTTTCTACAAACATGACTTAAAAGACTGTAGTGGCCTGGCTTCCTGGACTCTTTATTGTAAATATTGGGCTTGTTTACTGGGCTGGTGCTGCAAATTGTGGGTCAGAGTTCTATTTTACATAGAGTCTGACCACTGTCTATGTGTATATTCCATCGGGTCAGCAGAAACTGAGGCCCACAGAGGAAGAGTACAGCTAATTGTAGCAAGTGCTGATTGGCCCGTCTGAGGGTGACCATGTTTCTCCTGTCATTACCAAAGAAGCTGACGTTCTGTTTGTTGGGGGAGACAAGTTAGATTCCCGGAGAGACAAAATTCAACATGGATGTCATAGAGAGAGGTTGCACTGGGAGGTTAATGGCTTATTCTGCAGCTTGGCAAGAAGGCTTGTCACTTCCCTAATGCAGCCAGAACCATGGGTGGTCAGGCACGTTCTCTGTACTGGGCCTGCTGTCCTTCCAGAAAAGTGCAGAGAGAAAAAGCATGGTTCTCCAGCCTACCTACCTGCATTCCTCTTTAACATCCACCATCCGTAGCTGTGTGAACTTGGATTAGATTCTCTACCTCCTTGTTCTTCAGTTTCCTCAGGTGTGAAATGGAAATAATCCCTATCTTATGCTCGTGTGCAAACTAGATGAGCAGACCTGAGCAAAACACGTAAACACTTCGGCAAATGAACTATTACAATCCCATTGAGTCCTCGAATCAAGTCGGTGAGGTAAGTCATATAATCCCCACTTTGTAGATAAACTAAGGATGGTGATGTAACTTGTCCAAAATGGTGAAGGTCAAAGTCAGAATTTTCACTCATGTTTCTAGGAAGATAAAGGTCATTATTTTTGTCTACCATGCTTCTGAACCCAAAATACCATTTGTGGGAAAGAGAACAGTGGGGTAGAAACTATGTAGGACTGTAGGCTCAGGAGTCCCACATTCAAGTCTTGGTTCTCTATTAGCTATAAAGTATTGCACAAATTACCTACCATCTCTGGGTATATTATCACTTTTAAACTGATGATAATACTACCTGCTTCACAGGGCTGTTTTACAGATTAAATACCATAATGTATATGAAGTTCCGATATAGTGCTCAGCACATGGGAAATACTTAAGAAATGACAACTATTTTTTCTACAGTCCCCCTTGTCTTCAGGAGGTATATTCTGAGTACCCCAGGGGATGACTGAAACCAAGGATTGTATTGAACTCTCTATATAGTTATTCCTCAGTGTCTGTAAGGAATTGGTTTCAGGCCCCCTTTCCTCCCCCCAGGATACCAAAGCCCAAGGGTACTCAAGTCCCTTATGTAAATGGTGCAGTATTTGCCCATAACCTGTACAGATCCTCCCATACACTTTAAATCATCTTTTAGATTACTTATAATACTTAATACAATGCAAATATTATAGGAATATCTAATACTGTATTTTTAGGGAATAACAACAAGAAAAATGTCTGTACATATTCAGTACAGACACAACCTTTTTTTAATCCACAGATGCAGAATCATCAGATTCAGAGGACTGTGTGTGTGCTATTCTTCTCCTGTACATATATTCCTATGATGAAGTTTAATGTATAAATTAGACACCACAATAACTAAATGAAATAGAATAATTTTAACAATATACTGTAATAAAAGTTATTTAAATCTTATAAATTGTTTACTTCTGGAATCTTCCATGTAATGTTTTCAGATGATGGTTGACAGTGGGTAACTGAAATTGCAGAAAGTGAAGCTGAGGGTTAGGGGAGACTGTTGTATGTGATTGAAAGGGACTATCAAAAACCATTCTGCAGAGTCTGCCCCTCGATAGCCCTGCTTCCATGAAGTTTTCCCTAACCCCAAACTGGATTTGACCTCTCCATTGTTGAATTTCCCATTATCAGTGCTGGGTAAGGCAAGCAGAGTAGAGACAAGGAGGAGCAGATGGGTCCTGCCAGTGGAGGAATAGACAGGCAAAGAGGTGATCGGTCAATGGCAACATGGTAACACAGAGCTCCCCCAAACTAACACATCCCATGACCCAGACCTCCAGAAGAGTCCAAAACACTTTCTAAAAAAAAAAAAAAAAGTGGAGAAGGCTTTGTCCTCGGCTCTATGGGTAAACCTCAGACAACCCCATCTGGAAGACCAGATCCTCAGCAGGTAAAAGCACCCTCCCCTTTGCCATCCTTCGAAGGCAATGATTCTCATTTTAGCACTGAAGTCCACATAGCTGGCTTCTCAACTCTCTTCCTGAAGATTCAAAGCTAAGTTAAGCCAAGTTTGTTTGTCAGACAGAACTAGGAGACATGCAACGGAAAAATCTGGTAGAAGAGGGATTAAAAAGGATAAAAATCTCAGAAAATAGGTGACAGTAAGGGGATATGAATAATATAAAAGTAGAAAACAGAAAAGACCCTCTTTTGCATCACCTGAGAAGGGGTTTCTGTTTTCCAGAGGAAGAAGCTAAATTTCAAGAAGGGTAAGTTCTGTACCCAAAATCACTCTGGGAATGAGAATTGAGTTATGATTTGAACACATCAAATAAGATCTGGGGAGAAAAAAATACTTAAAGGTGATTATCCATGGATTGTGGGATTATGGATGATTTCAATTTTCTATATATTTCTCTGTATTTTCCAAATTTTCTGTACTGAGCAGTTGTTACTTGTATACTGACAAAAAAAGTATATCAGGTTTAATATTTGAAGTTACTAGAAGTTCATAATATTTTATGTTCAAGTTATTAAATACTAATTAAAGTCATTGTTTAACCTTAATAATACTTAAGGTTATTATTACATTATATAATAATATAACATTTACTTAATATACTTAAGGTTATCTTATTACTTAACTTTAATCATATTTAAGGTTTATAGCATTTCAAAGGTATATCAGGGCCCAGGCTAAGGACAGAGAGCGGAAATTAGAGGCAACCAAAGTGCTAGCTGAAGAAGCTGGGGAATCATCCTGAGTCTGTTGTTTCTGAATTTGGAAAAACTAAGCTAAGAAGCTGGGGTATAATTCAGAGTAAGGGGCGAAGAGCAAGGAAGGAACCAGACTCTGGGAGTCCAGGGAAGCTCAAACTGAAGAGTGTTTGGAAAGAGAACATTTTGGCTTAACAGACACAGAGACGAAGACTTGACTCAGCAACAACCAGAACCCGGAACAAGACAGAATCCAAAATGGGAAGGCCGCCCAGAGGGCAAGCTTCCTGGGCAAGGCTGTGGATCTAGGCTCTGGGTCTGTGTGTTCTTGACCCTTGTCCTGGAGCCCCATGCCCACTGTGTTTGGCGTTGTCATCAAGAGTCCTGGCACGGCACGGCAGTATGGGAACCAGGATGAGAAAGGAAACAGGTTTCAGAGAAGACTGTAAGCATGGAGCCAAAGCCAAGGTCCTTTCTGTGCATCTGTCCTGGAATCAGAGAGACAAGTAAATTAAGAAGTAGAGCCGGGAATGAATTCCCAGGAGGAAGAAGGCCAAGTTCTTGCTTCCATCTTCCTTCCCGAAGGAGCAAGAGGACCCTGAGCAAATGAAGATTCAAACTCATCCACAACATTATTTCTCACCAGAAGCATTTTCAAACACCAAGCAAAGAAAGCTTTATTAACAGAACTACATGTTGACCATGCAGGATTCCACACCTGGAAGGTACACTATATGGGTTGGAGTCGGGTTGGAGTGCTCAGTATTGTAAGACAGGTCTGCAGTTTCATCAGAAGATCTTCCATAACACACAATAGTGGCTATTGGTTCAATTTTAAATATCTCACATTGGCATTGGCAGTGAGTAGATATGTCCTTAGAATTTAGAGGCTTTGTTTACAGTATGAAAATACATCACCTGCCTTAGTCAGGCTATAAATATAGCCTGGGAATGTTTTTCCATCTCATATTCAAGTCGAAAAATAAATAAGCTCAATAGCAAAAAAATAAATAAATAATTAATAAATAAATATATCTAACAGCAGAAGAGATATTACAAAAATCCTATAAGATTTTGGTCCAAATTAAGATTAGGGACACATAAAGATGACCACATAAGGAAACAACTAATGAATAAATAATCTACACTGTGACCAGCACTAAATTATATGGCAAAGATATTGTGGCTTGGGGTCATGTCTCTGTGGTCCAGGGGACTAGGATGCTTGCTCAGGAGTATTCTCAGCCGCCTCATCACGTCACTCCTATTCTGTCTCCTCCATCCATCGTAGAAGAATGTCTAGTTCCCCCAAAGCCTTCACCACTGCTTCTTGAAGGTCAAGCTGAAAGAGACACACATGGTTAGCAACTCCTCTGGCTTCAGGATTAATCTTCTTCTCTCCCATTGGTAGGTCTGTTGGGAATTCTAAACAGAGCATTCTTTTCAAGATCAAGAGCTTTAAAGAAGTATTATAATCTCAAGTGCCACACGATGAAAGGAAACCATGGAGTCTATCACCCTGGCTTATCATCTCTATTTTTTACATAGGGAAACTGAGGCCCAGGAGGTACCAGAATTGAAACTCCAACCTAAGCCTCTGATTCACAGAGCTCAAGAATGAGGCTGTTTTAAGAAGTTTGTGTGTGTGTGTGTGTGTGTGTGTTTGTGTGTAAGGACTGCCTACTGTGCACACTTCAATAATAGGCTAATGTGAGGGATGGCCCATGTGACCTTAGAGAGCTCTTAACCTGAGGGCTACAGGATTTCTACCAGCACAACATACATCCCACCCGTCTATGATCTCAGTTCCAACAGCACACTCATCCCAAACAATGCCAAACTCCATACCTTTTCGAAGTGACTCAGAATCTGGCTATATTTCTCCGTTGCTTCTTCCCCACAATGGCATGTCATGCGGGCATGCTGAAAGGGACACAAAGAATGATTTTACTTAAAATTCTGATTTTCTGCCCTTGCCAGTAACATGAGCAGGTGGGAATTATCTTTTACCCACAATCCTGTGAACTCTCATTCCTGTGGAAAATTCCTTTCTGACTTCCTTATTTGGGATTATTAAACTAATCATCTACTAGAAGAGGAAATCAGTGTTTTAGCTTCAAATATAGAGCTCATTGTGTTTTTTTAGAATGAGGCAGTGTTGGAGGCGTTTGTGATTACTGGGCCCTCAGATGGTCTCCCCACACCAGCTCTTGTTTGGAGCTTTTGTTTTGAGTTGCAGAGCAAATCTAATCCCTCATGGGAAGAGAACACTGAATAACAAGGTCCTATTCACCTGACCACAGGATGCATTAAGACACTGTACTCACCTCACCTACAGAAAAGGTGTAATTTTGTGGATAATAGGTAATTATCATGAATATCAATTAGCTAGCACTTTTTAGTTTTTAAACTTTAAAAAATTACTTTTTGCATGTACTCCAAAATCAATGAAACTGAGTTTTTAGAACTAGTCACATAGATGAACAAAGATTATTAGAACTTTTGGACTCAGTTTCTCCATCCATTCAATGAGAGCAGGAAAGAGAACTTGACTGCTAAGTCATTGAAGCTATGGGCTCAAGATGGATCCTGTCACCCCAAACCCTTACTCACACAAAGCCGGAGGCCCTTCTTGATGGTAAGAAAGGAATTGGCGAGACTGCTGATGTTCCGGAGGGTATTATGGTCAGAGGTCTGGTAGTTTTTGAAAACTCTGTCCAGGTAGAGTCTCAGTAAATGGCGGAGAAGGCAGCACCGAGCTGAAGGCTGCAGAGAAAACAAAAAGACAAAAGTGTTGGTGGGAGGAGGGGAAGGGGCAGACAAGACCAGGGTGATGGAAATGCTCTGGCTTCAGACTTCCTCCCAGAACCCACCTGGGCCAAGCACATACCTTTGTGTCTTGCAAAGACTCGGTCCTCCTTAAGATTCTGATGTCAATGTTTTCATCTTTGGCTTGCTAAATAGAAAGCAAGACAAGAAAGGACAGGTCATTAGCTGCTGCTATGGTCTTGGACACCACAACCTCCCGCTGCCAGGGCCTGGTGGGAGGAATCCTTCTCCAAAGCATTTTAACATTCTGAACTATTGACATTTCTTGGGACGCAGTGTCCTGGTAAGGTGACCCCAGCCCTCCTCTTTGCATGACCACATTGCCAGGGCTGCCAGGGAAGACAGACAAGGAACAAACAGAACAGGCAGGGAGGTGCATGCCTCCCTCACATACCACAGTGTCCCGAATCTTGGAGAAACCGCTTTGTATTTCCTCGAGGTTTGTGGTGATCACACAGCTTCCCAAGTGGAGAGTCTTGAACCCAGTCGAAGGAGCCCAGAGGAGACAAAACACGACAGAGAGAAGACCAAAGGCAAGACGGGAGCCTTTCATCTTATGTCTGGAATCTGGAGACCACGGAAGCTGGGGATTCAAAAGAAAGAAATGTGACTTACTCATTTCCCATCTCATCCTTTAGAAGCCAACCCAGCCACCAGGGACATGCCTCCCCAAGGTGTCCCCTGGGGGGCAGAGGAACCAAACAGGCTCATCTGGCTCCAACAGTACTGTTCATTCACACAACTCACTGAGAAAAGCTGTGGAGTCTCCTGCAGAGAAAAGCCTTCAGGTACCTGCTCCAGCCTAAGCATGGTATGGTACCACAGGTCCCTGGTCCTTTATCCTGTACCTATCCCAGCTCTGCCGTCATTGCCCAACAGGGAAGTCTGGAGCCGCAGAATAGACAGAGGATGACATTTCATGGGAAATGCCAAAACTTGTTTGGGGGAAATGACGTAGATAGATTTCTCTTCCAGGATGCCAGTGTAGCTCACCCTTCTGGTCCCCTTAGACCCTCAGGGAACTGGGGAAAAAAGCAAAATCTCACTAAAGTCATGACTGTGCCACCAAAAATACTTAGGAAAAAATTGTCTGAATTTTTATGGTCACCCACAGGGTAGAAGTGCTTTGCTCTGTCTGGCATTTGTCTGAGATCAAAGTGATTATGGAAGACTAATAGATTCATTTGGCCCCAAAGGCAAATACAAAGTCAATGATTCATAACAGTACTACTGCCAGAGAAAGGAAAGACCTGACATGATTGGTGGAATTTCACCTCACATCTCTTGCTGGGAGGAACCCGGGGTTCCCACAGTACCCCCTACAGGAGGAATGTAGTCAGGCACTCCTGGGATGAACCTATAACCATGCTTTCCTGGTCTAGCATCTCAGAAGAGGATAAATGAAGTGATCCCCCCAAAAGGAAAAGAAAGACCGTGAGGGAACTGCAGTAAGGCTGCTCAATAAGAGGAAAGTTTATGGTGTCTGTTGAGTTTTGAGATTAAACAAGAATGGCCTGCCGTTAGGGGAAGACAAGCCAGGGTGGAGGGGGACAAGTTCAAGGAGACACCAAAACACTTAGTCATTAAGATAAAGCATACAGTTGGGCATGGTGAGAGACCCTATATCAAAATAAAAAGGGTTGGGGATTTAGCTCAGTGGTAGAGTGACCCTGGGTTCAATCTTCAGTACCACCCCGGCACCAAAGATATGTTAAAGCAATATCAAAATGAATTTAAAATATCTGCAATAAAAAAAAAATACCAAAATCTTAAAAACAGAATCTGACAGTGCCCTGCTGAGCTACTGGAACAAAAGGAAAAATATGCACATCTATACATATGCTTTCACATATTTTTATGGTTACCTTTTATCTCAAAAACATATGATGAAAATATAATTGATGACTTTTTGTCCCTTGAAACCAGAGAAGGAAAATTATAAGAAATGTGGGGGCATAAATAAAATATTTAATTTAAAATAATGTTGTGAGTTTTAATAAACCTATTACTTATTTTTTCAATATTTTTTCAACTACTTTTAATATTTTGGGAAAATGGCATACATAAAATACAAAAACATGCATACATACACACACATATACACTTGTCTTTCCTTTCACCTTGATTGCCCGGCTTTGGCACAATCCTGATAATCATTAGCATTTACTGAATTCCTCCACTGTGCCAAGCAATATGCTAGACACTTTTTTTTTATTTGCGACCACCCTAGATACTGCCAAATGTAGGAAAGGCAATAAACCAGAGAAACCCAAAAGTTTCAGAGGGAACCATGGATTTGCAGACAAGAGAACTATGTAGTAAATCCCTTCTCTACAAGTTCACATCCACGTAGGTTGTCCCGCTTTGCCCAGGGATGTGGGGGTTTCTGAGATATACAAGAATCTTAAAAATGGAAAATAACAGGCAAACCAGAATGAGCTATCCGCCCTGTAACTATGTGACCTTGCACAAATCAACTCATCTCTTTGAGTTTCATTTTCTTAGCCCAAAAATGATGATAATAAAACTTACCCTAGAAACTTATTTCAACATTGAATAATCTGTTGTTTATATACCTAGCACACTATCAGTGATCAATTCATTTTAAGTAGAGATTGATGATAGTTGCCTTAAACTTAAGATATATGTAAAATTACCATAAATTCAACAATTGAGTCAGCATTCATTGAACACCCAGTGTCCTGAATGTTGTTCCTGGTACTGAGTATAGAGATAAACATAGCAGTTTCTTGTCCTTCAAGAGATTGCATCCCCATGGAAAAGGTTCCTTTGGACATGGCCCTCCACATACCTTGGTGAATGACTGGGAAGACCACGCTGATCTCCAGATCATGCAGAAGGCTCTTACTGGAGCTGCAGAAGATCTGTTGCTTCAGATCTCCTAGGAGTCTGTCTCAAGCTGAGAGGCTCCAGTTATTATATACATGTTACATGAAGGAAGTGAGCTCGTTCAGGTGAGATTTGAAACTCCCACGTAATTTCTCTTCTGGCTTCCAAATTCCTCAAGAGCTAACGTAGTGTAATAGCACCAATACCTTCCTCTTCCAGCAAGGACGGCCTGAAAGGATTAGTGACTACAGATGTGGATAAAGGATGTGCCTCATCTGGCCCCACCTTCCTGTTTGGTAAAATGGTAGTTGGGACAGAGAAGATCTGAATTGCAGAACTGGAAGAGAATTTCAGGGTGTGCCTTTGCCTTCTCCTCTAAATCCAGTTCTTAAACAAGTTTCTCTCCAACTCCAGAAGATATGGGCTCATTCCTGCTGTTTCTCTTTGCTTTTGCTCTTTCTACCATTGCTTTCCAAAATGGCCACACTTCCTTTTCTCCATTTATTATTAAAGAGGAGATGCCTTTATCCCTGAACTACTCTGGCTTATACCAACTACTCCCTTCTCTGACCTCCAATAGCAGATTTTCCTTTGGCACATGAGAGCATCTGGTTTATGGGCATTAAGCTTTTCTCACCATGGCACTGGAAGATTTTCTAAGACAGAAACTAATTATGTAATATCACACTTCCAGGCAAGGTTAAATTCAAGCACTTGAGACAAATTACAGACAACTATTTTAAAAAGATCAAGATGGTAGAGATTATAATATGTTCCTTTTTTACTTTTCCCCTATTCAGTACCTGAAACTCTGAGCTCTTATATCAGAACCCAGGAATTCTACAGTAAACAGGCTGACTTTGGCACATCCTTTCTGGATTCAGTTTATGAATCTATAAGACGACAGCAGCAGAGTAGATAACACACAATTTCAATTCTGACATTCAATGATTTATTGCTTTTCCACCTTTGAGATCAGAAAGCTCTTTTTAACATCTCTCAATATTTTCCTAAAGCTCCCGGAAAGTGAAGGTCATGCTTCATAAATATGGCAAATATGCGTGGATATAAATAATCTAAATATCTCTTAAACTATTTAAACTCATGTCTGTTTTTTTTTTCCCATCAATGGTGCTAGGTAAGTAAACATAAACACCATTTCATCTAAAATTGGGGAATGTGGTCTGACAAGAATACTTGAAGTTTGCATAGGCTGTACTTCTGGCAGTCAATTCTTTTTCATTAACCAGGAAAAAAAATGTAATTGCTTTGGATTTTGTTTTGCTTTTGTTTGGTACTGGCCATTGAACTCTGGGGCACTGAGCTATATCCCAGATCTCTTTCGTTTTTAATTTGAAACAGGGTTTCATTAAGTTGCTGAGGCCGCCCTTGAACTTGTGATCCTTCTGCTTCAGCCTCCCAAGTCACTGGGATTACAGAAATGTGCCACCATGCCCACCCACGGTTGCTTTGTTTTAGGCTACCTCTAATGGTCAGTTGAACTCAGTAAATGATACCCAATCCTGGTTTTACTTGAATAATCAAGTATCCTCCTTTCCTGTACCAAAATACCATGTTCTTGAGCTAGGGATGTGGCTCAGCAGTAGAGTGCTCACCTAGCGTTCTTGTAGCCCTGAGTTTGATCCCCAACACCACACACACACACACACACACACACAATACTATATTCTTTTAAATTCCTCTGGCTAGATCCCACATCCTGCTGTATAAACACTAATTCAACTCATCTCCTCTACAAAATATTCCCCGCCTCACCCTAAATTCAGCCTTCACTCTAATTTACAAGGCAAATTTGATCTTTCCCACCTTTTCACATCAGTCTTACCTTATATATAGCTTTTTTAATTTATCAAAGTCAAATACAACTTTTTGATCACATGTCTGTGTTTTCTGGTGGCCTGAGAACTCTTTGCTCATCTTGCTCAATGATGACCACTGAATAAACTTATTGATTTATAATTGTTTCCTCTTTATGCTGTGTCCCAAAGCATGAGCTCCATGATTTAATTTAGGGGACCATAAGCATCTTCTTCAGTAAGGTCTAGATCCCTGTTTCCTCCTGGTAAGGAATTCTATCATAATGGCAAGAATGCTATCAGATGATGTTATCCCTGCCCTGCTGAATCATTAGAGCCTGAAATGACTTTCAGTACACTTAGTCCAATTCCCTCACTTTGTAAATGGGGAAACTACAGTTCAAAGAGGTGAAGGAACTTGCCCTAGGTCACTTGGCTGGTAAGAGGCAGATTTGGCAGTTGAACTCAGTAAGAGTTCATTCCACTGCATTTTGAACTCCTCTCCTATAGCAAATTGCTTCCCTTTAATATGAGACAGGGAGAAAAGTATTTCTTACGTCATAGTTCTGGCAGAAGAAATGAGTATTCAATGGAAAGTATGTATAGGGTGTTGACACTCCCAGTGCAAGGGACCAAGAGCCAAGAAACACAACTCTTCCTCCTCCTGTTCCTCCTCCTCCTCCTGCTCCTCCTCCTCCTCCTCCTTCTTCTATTTTTCTTTTTAGGAGGAAAGTTTTATTTTGATTCGTGGTTTCAGAAGTTCAGTCCATGGTCTGCCAACTCCATAGCTCTGGCCCAAGGTGTGGCCGGACATCAAGGTGGACATGGGTGGAGGAAGTGACTCAGGACATGGTAACCAGGAAGTGGAGAGCTAGGAGACCCAATT